CCACAAGCAGTACCACCACGAGCAGCAGTAGTACTTCAAGTAGCACTACTACTACCACTACTACGACAACAAGTAGCAGCAGTACTTCAAGTAGTACCACTACAAGCAGCAGCAGTACTTCAAGTAGCATCACTACCACGACCACCACTACCAGTACCACTACAAGCAGTAGCAGTACTACAAGTAGTAGTACAACGAGCAGCAGCAGTACTTCCAGTAGCACCACTACTACGACTACCACCAGCAGTACCACTACAAGCAGTAGTAGCACTACAAGTAGTAGTACAACGACTAGTAGCAGTACTTCAAGTAGCACTACCACGAGCAGCAGCAGTACCTCAAGTAGCACTACTACCACCAGCAGTGGTACTTCAACGAGCAGTAGCAGTACCACAAGTAGTACGGCTTCCACTACAACTTCTCAAAGACTAAATATCCATCAAAGTAATAATATAAATAATGTGAAAAATAGTTTATTGATCTTTTTTTCTAAATTAGGTTGCTATGCACCGACGGTTACATTGATTCCTGGACAATCATCTTTATCATCTCCAATGTCATATCGACGAAGTCAAGATTTTTCTATTAGTTCAATGATCCAATTTAACTGTAATGGTTCACTTTCAACAACTAAAAAATGGACAGTCAAAAATTGTACATCGATATGTTTATTTGAAATTCAATTGGATGATAAAATCAGTACAACATTAAATGAACTTTATATTCCATCAAGAACATTGGATTATAGAATTTATGAATTAACATTAACTGTCACAATGATTGAATCACTTGATCTTAAATCTTCAGCTTCAGTTTTTGTAAGAGTAACTGCAGCAGGTATAACAGCAAATCTTGTTCAATTAGGAACATCAATGATAACACGTGGTAGTCAACAAAATCTGCAACTTAATCCTGGAGCATATTCTGTTGATCCTGATCAAAATTCGTTTGATGCGAGTGTAAGTATTATTTATTTCTCATTGATTATAAAATAGATTATATTGGATGAGACTCTGATACATTCGTTTTACTTCAATATAGTGATATGAGTAGAACCATTAGTAGAAATCAAGCCTGACAAGGTGATCATATGAATATTCTCAGTAGTCCAAAAGATCGATAATAATAGAAATTGTTTCAGATATCTTAATAAATCTATTTTTATTGACTATAGAAATGGAAATATACGTATTATTGTCGAATTTATGGTTTATACAATTTCCCAAATTTTCAAGGTATATTATTACCAATTGAAAATTCCAAAATTGATCCTTATAATCCATCATGCTTATCAAATCAATCAGGTAATATTAATTCTCGATAATTTTATATGTCGAAATAAGAAACCTCATAATTGAATAGGATTAATATTCGGAAATTTAACTGCATCACCTAATTCATCTCTAACAATTCTCGGTGGTTCACTTCAATCAAATCAAATCTATCAATTTATGGTTTATATGGAAAATCGTAAAAATTCATCTATTCAAGCTACAGGTTATGTACTTGTTACAGTTGATGATACTCATCCACAATTAATTGTTATTGGGTAAATAAATTTTTTATTTAATTAAATCTTAAAAAGAAATCTTTTGAATTTAGTTGTGTTATATCAATATTATGTGTTCCAAATCTTGAATATCAATTTGTTAATCCAACAACACAAGTTGCACTATTTGCTCTTTGTGTCGGAAATTGTATAAATCTTCAAAATATTAAATGGAATATTTATCAAGGTTCTGATAATTCATCTTCAAACTATACACAATGGACTTTATTTAATAACACGGTTTTTTATGAAAATATTTGGTTTTTCGGTAGAAATCTTTTTTGTAATTAAGAAATATTTATATTCGTCTTATTTTTTATAGGTAAAAATACAAGTAATTTTACAGCTACAAATCAATTATTTCTTAATAATCCTCAAATAAATCTTTGGCGATTTGAAGTTGTTTATACATTTCTATCTGTAACAAGTACAAGTGCATTAAATTTTATTATTAATCAACCTCCTTATAATGGTTCATGTTCAATTAATCCGATGAATGGTACAACAACTACTTTGTTCACTATTACGTGTCCAAATTGGTATGATGAAGATGGAATTAAAGATTATTCATTATATGGTATAGTTACTTTTTAATATAACAAAATTATGTAATAGTTCGTTTAGTATTGATATAATTCTTCCTTCTGTTAACGTTGATGATGATACTAAGAGGGAAAGTTCAGATACTTGATTAGTATCCAAGGATGTGAATGCCTTTTATTTATCTCACACGTATATCGTTTATGAGTCACAAATGATCGTTACACCTTCACAGGTCGATCGTAATAGAGATAGGCCTCGTAGTTTTAACTTTGTAATCATACAGAAGAATAATGATGTGTTTTTCACTCATTTTATTCCGAAATATTGAACAACATATAAATTTTTTGTAGATGTAGAATTTAATTCATATTATAGAAGTTATTTCATCTTTTACATTTTAATCCTAGAGAAAGTATGTTAATCAATTTTCTTCTAATTTAAGCATGGACTACGGATATATCGCAAAAATTAATGATTGCATATTCGTCAGTATCTTATTTTCAAGTTCGATTACCAAGTGGAGATAATCAAACATCATTACTCAATATTGCTATTTCTATTCGTGATCTTCTCGATTGTGTTGTAGAAGTAAATATGTCTTCTGTACATGTTATCGTAGATTTTGTAGGAATAAATGATCTAATGACAAGTCTACAAAGTTCACCAAATACATTAACAAACAATCCAATTGTTCAATTACTTTCAAGTGGAGATCAAAATACTGTTGGACAAATTCTTACTGCAATTTCTCAACAATTCAATCAAATGAATAGTGAAAATACAGACCAAGCTGTTTCAAGTAATTATTGACATTTAGTTTACTATAGATAATTCAAATAATCTTTTTCTTAGGTGGAGTACCAGCTGCAACTATTTTAGTATCATCCTTAGGAAGTTCAAGTTTACAAGGAGTAAATACATTGAATTAAACTGAATTCATTTTATTCCATTTTAATATAGAATTCAACATCTGTCAATGAATCAGCTTTGACTGAATATAATAAAATATTAAATGCTCAAGCAAATCTTCGAGATTACTTAATGACATTTACAACTAATCTTCTTATTACAACATCAAATAGTATTAAATTACAATCATCAGCATTAGTGCAAATAACTCAATCAACAAATCAATTAACAAGAGCTGCTCTAGTATTATCAATAAAATCATTTTTTCAAATTATATTTTTGTATAATTCTAGTCAATTGCATCGAGTAGATGTTATCAATTATCACTTGCTTTATCTTCAATGGCAACACAAATTCCATATGAAGATGCTCAAGTAGCAGCAAATCAACTAATACAATGTGCTTCAAATGTCTTAACCGTAAATTTCAGATTTTTAAATAATGTTCTATAAAACGTGATTCTTTGTATAACTAAATTTGGCTAAGTGTAGGAAAGCCAAAAAGTCAACAGAGATAAAAATTTTTAAATATCTTCGTCTTTCGAGTCGATACTTTTATTACTGAAAAAGAAATATTCATAGTTCTTATTAACATGAGACACGTTTTCAAAGCTTTTTTTAAAACAATACAGCTAACGTCAACAAAAGCTTGAGAGTGATTTCATCATTTGTTAATATGTGGAATTATGAATTATTAATTTAGGCTGTAAATGGACCATTACAAGAACGAACAAGTACACTTGGCTTAGATTATTCTCGCGCAAATATGGTACCTACTGATTATGATACTGATCTTGAATCTCCATGGTCAAATACAAGTAACAGTTCTTGTTGAATGATTTATCTCTAGTTCTTTTTTTTTTAATTCTAAAAGATTTATTTGGTGGTGGTGATCAAGCATCAGTTGAAAAAAATCGTAATATATATTATCAAAAACAATTAGCAAATCAAATCAATAGTCAAGTAACATCAATTATTTCATTATTAACATCTTCATTAAATATTCACTTAAATATTGGTCAAAATTCAACAATAAATACATCTCAAACATATATGTCGTTAGAAACAATATCTGTAACATCCCTTTCGGATAGAATTGTAAAACAAATTGGAAATGCACAATTTCATATTCCATCAGATTTTAATTTGAATACAAATGATAACTCTTCGATTTCACTTCGAGTGAGTTTTTTTTGTACCATTATTTAAAGAATTTCTTTGAGTTTTTTTAGTCAAAAATGGATGTACTTGCTTCATTTGGAGATTTTTCAAATACAAATCTTTCAAGATCAGTTTCACTTTCAATTATTGATCAAAATGGAAATGAAATTTCGTTTAAAGCCAATGAAAATAATTCAATAAAACTAATAATTCCTCGTGATCCAAATCTAGTAATTCCATCAATGTATTTACAAAATGTTACATCGATTAATTCAACTACTAATAATTTATTATTCAATTATCATTATATTAATATAACAACTTCTCTTCCAATTTCAGTTCATTTTGAAATTCATTCTTTAAATACAAATTTAGCGTATTTATTCATTTATAAATTTGATCAAACACCACAATTAAATAGTTCAATTAATCTTATTGATGGATGGACAATTTTTTGTCCTTTCAGTATGTTTTTTTTTCTTAAACATTCATATAGATTTCTTTTTTGTCATTATAGATTTAACCAATGATGATATCTATCGATATTTTATTGATAATCAACAAACACCTGGTCATCAATCATTGATATTTGGAATACGAGAATTAAATTCAACTGAGATTAATAGTTATTGTTTAAATAATTCTTCAATAAATACGTCTTTACCAATTACTGATGAATCATTTAATTTTACATCAAATTATGAACTTCGTATATATACATCAGGTTGTTATTATCTTGATGAAAATAATAATTGGAAATCAGATGGATTAATTGTAAGTATAAGATGGATTAGGAAAATAAAGAATATTTGATATTTATTTAACCGTAGGTTGGATCATTGACAAATCATTTTGAAACAGAATGTTTATCAACTCATTTAACATCATTCGCTGGTGGTTTTATTGTTTTACCAGAACCAATTAATTGGAGTTATGTTTTTGCAAATGCTGATTTTCTAAAAAATAAAACAATTTATTTAACAGTTGTTTGTATGTCTATTGCTTATATTCTTTTGATGATTTTTGGACGTTTTAAAGATAGAAAAGATATTGAAAAAGTAAATGAAAATGATTAATAATATTTCTTAATTAAATTAATCTTATTTCTTTTTCTAGTTAGGAGTAACACCATTATCTGATAATGATAAATCTGATCAATATTATTATCAAATTATTGTTTTTACTGGTCAACGAGCAAATTCTGGAACACAATCAAAAGTAAAAAAGAGGAATTTTGTTTTGTAAATAAATCTTAATTTGATTAGGTTCAT